TAAATACATACTACATATGTATGTACGTATACTAATTTTAAGGATTACTTCAATATTACTTTCAAAGAATTTTAGCTGCATTCGCATCTTATATGCACATATACATATGGTCAGAAAAGAATACCTCATAAGGGAAACCACGTTATTAAATGAACTAAATGTTTTATGAAACTGGTGGAACATTTTTATACCCGAGCGCACTTGTGCACAAGGGTACATTAATTTTGTTCACATAACGGTTGTTTGTAACAGCCAAAACGAATCGAGATAGATATAGACAAATGTATACATAAGTGCTCAAACTGAATAGAGAAATCGATTAAGCCATGTCTGTCTGTCCGTCCGCCCGTGTACACGATAACTCGAGGAAAAATTGAGATATCTCAACAAAATTTGGTATGTAGGTTCCTGTTAATCCAAGGTAGGTTGGTATTGAAAATGGGCGAAATCGGACTGTAACCACGCCCACTTCCCATATAACGGTAATTTCCAGAAATACGAAAACTGCGATATTTTAGTAACTACTGAACATAATTAACTCAAAATTGATATTTACAATAATTTTCAGACGAAAAATAAGAAAATTATAAATTTTTTTTTGGCACAGTTGTTGGCCTTGATAACTACTAAATACTAAATGGCCGAAAATTTTAAAAATCGGAGAATAACCACGCCAACATCCCATATAATTTAATTAATTTCCAGAAATACGAAAACTGCGATATTATAGTAACTACTGAATATAATTCACTCAAAATTGATATTTACTATAATTTTCAAACGAAAAATAAGAATATTGTAAACTTTTCGAAAATGGGCGTAGCCACGCCCACTTATGGTTACATGTGTATATCTTGGTAGCCGCTGCACCAATTTCTTCCAAACTTCGCACGGTTGTTGGCCTTGGTACAACATACTAAATGGCCGAAAATTTAACAACTTGGACAATAACTACGCCCACATCCCATATAACGGTAATTTAGAGAAATACAAAATCTTCAATAAATCAGTAAATATTAAAGCTAACTTATTCAAAATTGATGCTCGCAACAATTCTCTACCAAGAAATACGTTTATGGTTAAATTTTGGAAAATGGGCGTGGCACCGCCCACTTATGACCACATATATGTATATCGGTAACCGTTCTATCAGTTTGTACCAAACTCGTTATTTTTGTTGTGCTTGCCACATAAAAGCAAAACGTTGAAAATTATTGAAATCGGACTAATATTACGGCCGATTTTCATATAACGGTAAATTTCAGAACTGCTTGAAACTTCTATATTTCGAAATTTAAGGACGCTAATTTACTCAAAATTGATAAACCCAGGCTTACCATCTAGTGGTAGGTTTCGGAAAGGTGAAAAAAACATAAATTTAATACTTGCGCCGGGTATTTAATGTTCGGCTTCACCCGAACTTAGACTTTCTTACTTGTTTTGTTTCCATTTGCCCGATGTTTTTGTGCGTATAGTTACTGATTTAAATATTTATTTCTAAAAAACATCCGCACTTAAAAAAAAGACGATCTAATGTTTTCTTCTACATACCTATGTATATTAGTGTAAATCTAGGTCCTGACGTAGTTCTGTGTGCATAATATTGTAAGAAACTACTCTTACTCAGTTCTGAAATTTCGTGTGCTTCAGGCAACCAAGTCTTCTAACTTCGCAACTGGGCGCCTTAAAGTATCGCACCACTTTCCACACAACGCAACGCTCGTAGTTCCTGCTCTTCTTTCATTTTTGTATATTTATGTACATATCTATAAATGCATGTGGTCGAAAAACAAAAAAAATCAAACAATTCAAAACTATCTCAATTCATAATTGAGTTTTTAATGAAAATTAGAAAATGCCAACTTGGAAATGGTTAAAAGTTATTTATCATTTGACATTATAGTCGGTGTTGAAAATAGAGAAATGTCAAAATCACTTCTACCTTGTTTAATATGCCTTGAGGTCTATTTTTTTAAACCTGCAAGTTTGTAATCACATTATTTTAATAAATCAGGGACCGTAACCGTTATGATTTTTATAATAAAAATCATTAATTAATCGTTATTTTGTGTTTTTATTTTTTCGATAATTTTTAATCGTTATTGTGTGACCTTTATTTTTTGATCATCCTTAATCGTTGTTTTATGGTTTTTTATTTTTTCGATCACCTTTAATCGTTATATTATGATTTTTATTTTTGCGATCAAAAATAAGTTATTCTTAGTTTTTGTATAAGGTGTAAATCGAATGTGCACAGATTTGACTTAAAAAAAAATTTACAAGTACCCTGTAGTCAAATGTACTAGTTGTAAATTACCTCACAACTAATATGAACCGCATGCCCAACTAGTCTTCTATCTTTTTTCCATGCAATCAACTGGTATTTTTAATATGGCTATGTCCTACGAGATTGCAATTGCCAGATTTCGGTCAGAAATATACCAGTCTCATACTAGTTCAAAATTGACACAAAAATACCAATTATGGACCAAAACCACTACTTTGGGAGTCAAAAAATAAAATGAATTCATGAATATACAATAAAAAACTTTTGATTAAGTACACTTTAATATATTACAAATTTTTATTTAGCAGCCTTAGATTTGCAAATAATTAGTGTAAAATTTTTTTAGTATTAATTAAAGCAAACATAAATACATAAATATTCCAAACTTTCGAACATAAATTTAAGTGAAATTTTCATTAAATGTTATTAAAAGTAAAAGGTTTCAGGTACAATAAATACTATATTTTTATATTTTTTAATTAGAAGCATTTTAGTTACCAATAAAATGAATACTTTAGTTCGTTTTTGAGTGAACTAAAATAAAAAAAAAGTTTTCATTAAAATAAATTAAATTCATTAACTTTGGACATTTCAGTTTAGTCTTTTTTTAAATATTCATGAAAGTAATAATTAATGTTTAAAATTTGAGATTTGGATAAGAATAAACTATTCAAGCAGTTATTAAATATTCTTATTTTTTTTCTATAGTTATTAATCAACAAATAATAGAAATTAATCAAATAATTATATTTACCGTGTAATTAAAAAAAGTCAAGAATGATTGAAAATGATCAAAAAATAACAAAACAATGACGTAATTAAAATTAATGAATTAATTGACGTTTTTTAAGTAATTAATTATTAATCAGGTGGTAGTATCGGTATTTAATCATTAAACGGTTATCCAAAAAACATTTTTAATTAATAGTCATTATGAATATTAATCATTATTTAACAAGTGTGGTATATATTTCCGAGTAAGTACTCGCTTTAACGGTTTACAATATACCCAAATAAAAGTTATAATATTTTGTGCACTCTATTGTATTAAACTGTCGAAGTCAAATAAAACAGGGCATGAATAAATCGTTTTGTACTTGGTACAAGTCTGGTCATTTTCGAACTAGTTCGTTTTCAGTCAGGAAATTCTAGTTGTAAAGTAGTATTTTTCCTGACTAGTTTGGGATTTCACTGCAGGGTACGTTCATATATATGATAAATGAGTTTTTTAATTTTATACCAAATGGCCAAAAAAAGTGTACTAAATAAGCCGAGAAAGTACCAACATTTAAAAGACCATACATACATAGTTACATATACATATGTTTTTAGATTTTCTGTATAAAATTCATGATATAAAACATGGCGTGTGATAAAGGACACCAAAATGGCAAGGTAATCAACAAAAAAAGCATAAAAGTTATATTATTATCTAAGTGCTAGTAATACAAAAATCAAAAAAAAAAATCATTGCATTTAACGGAATGGAAGTTTTACAAAGATATTTCCTTTTATAGAAATAAACAAGTTAATAGCAGTGCTCTCGTACCTAAAATCTTGCAAAGGGGGGGGAAGTCGAAAGCCCAAAATGACACTGAAATCTACCACTTTCTGCTGGAAAAATTTTACCTGCGAAACCTACAAGTAAAAAAGTCTGTTGACCACAAACATGTGTTCGTGAATAAACAAAAGAAAGGAAGAAAAGTTCAGTTTAGTTAGTTTACTATTAATCTCTAATTTTCTAATTTCCGTGCGTCAACTATGGCTGCTGTATGAAATTTTTAAATTGTACTATATTTTTGCCAGAAATATACCAAAATAGATAATAATGCTGAAAGGTTCTGAACGAATTTGTCAGTTGATCATTAAAACGAGAATGGGATAACTTTAAAGGCACATTTGTAGCTATATCTACTTAATTTTTGTGAAACAAGGAAGGGTGCTTGGAGGAGACTCTTTTATTTTTGAACGCGTCATAATGTGGTATCAAAAAGACTTATTCATTCCGAGATAATTCATTTATATGTTAAAAACATTTTTCCTATACAAAAATTTCAAATTGGGGACAATGCACCAAGCGGATAATAATTTACTAAATTTATCAGCTGTTTCGAAGATTGCAAGTTTTTGCAAATTTTGCAAACTGCTCAGAATTTTTGCTGCTGGATGTTCTTATGTGAAGAATACAAAAATACTCCTACCAAATTTACCTATCAGAAAGTCAGAATGGCGTAAGTTGCACGTTTTTACTGGTTTTGCATTCAATAACTTCCTTCAATTTTATCCGCTATGATTATTTTATTCTCTGGCTGCTAGTACTTACTGGAAAATTTTATGAATAGACCGATTATGACAGCAACTTTTTTTTGATTTAAGTAAGAGTTTCGTTTTTAATAAACACCACGTATTTACTTAAATATGGTAGAAAAATATGACTATATTTTTATGCACAAAAATTCAAAACTCCAAGGAAATAGAGTGTGGTTTTTCGACATAATTGAGCTGCAGTACTGTGTCTTGACAAAAATGTATCAAAAATGTCAATGTAGTACCAATGTACTTTTGGCTTCCAAAGTGTACCAAAAAAGTACAATTTTACCATCAATTTCATCACTGGTACATACTAGGGGAATTCGCTCTTATGTGTATTCGTTGTATGTTGTGTAATCGTAACTGCATGAGCGTGTGATTTGTTGTTGCTAGCGGTACATCAAATATACATGCAACAACAACCACACGCTCGTCCAGTTACACTTACGCAGGATACAGCGAATACACTGAAGCGCGAATACCACTACTATGTACACACATACTATCCCTGCAGGAAAACCGCGGACTGGTGCATACAATTTCTAGTTCCGTACAAGATCTTTATCGCCAAAAACGAACTAGTCCGATAGGAACTAGATCCCCACCAGTTCAAAATCAGCGAAATGTGGGAATTTTTAAAAAACTATTTTATTTCTCTTTTTTCATTAGAAATCTATATCTAAATTGACGAATTTAGAACTGGTTCGAAATTATAGAAAAAGGGACGCAGAACGAACTAGATCTTATCTGTCGAAATTAAAACTAATTCGAAACTATCGAAAAAGGGATGCAGCGGGGGGCTTGTTTACTTTACATAGATATGTGTTTGGCGGCTTTTTCGTTCAAATGGACTTTCATTCTGCACTTCGTAGATGGTATTTCATAGTTTGGTAATACAAAACAAAACTTTGTGTTAACATATTAACATCTTGGGGCCATCTGGAATCTAAGAAATAACAGCGAGCACCTCTGCAAACTCAGCTACAGCTAAAGGTATGTAAACGTATATTTCTTACAATCATTCAAACAAATATAATTTCAAATTGAAAACACATTTCTTCCAAAATAACTTAAAATCGCATACACGGAAGAACCAAAAAGATTGAAAAATCATGATACTTTTTTCTTTCGTCTGTCGCTTTTAGAATTGGTTCGGAACTATAGAATTTAGGACTAGTTCGGAACTATTGAAAAAGGGATGCAGTGGGGGGCAATTGACACTTCCTAGGACATCGCCGTGTTAAATTCGCCAGTTGCTTGCATGCAAAAGAGATTTAACGCGAACCAGTACTGGGTCTAAATGTACTAGAAGCGCAACAGTTCAGAACTAGAGATTTTCCCCACAGGGTATGTCCACACATACGTACATGATATGAATTGATGGGCATACTTGAGTACTTTTGTATTTGATGACGTTTTCTTTTCTCGAAAAAAAATTTCACCTTCTTATGTGGCAACATTATCAGAGTGCAAAATTTTAAAGAAAGAGCACGCAATATTTGTTTACAGGGACGATGTCACAATGCATCTTTTTCGCATTGGGACGATCGGCGCCATACGAATGCGTTACGTTAGTTATGAAATACAATATTCATGTGAAGATGCTGGGAAAAGAACACGAAAACTTGACAACCCTGACACAGGGCAGAAATAATGCAACATTATTTCGAGAAAAGAAAACGCTATAAGATACCAGTTTGGGTACTAACCTGCAGTGAAACCCCAAACTAGTCAGGAGAAATACTAGTTTACAACTAGAATTTCCTGACAGAAACCGAACTAGTTCGAAAATGTCCAGACTTGTACCAAGTACAAAACGATTTATGTATTCGTGTCCTGTTTTATTTGACTTCGACAGTTGAATACAATAGAGTACACAAAATATTATAACTTTTATTTGGCTTTATTGTAAACCGTTAAAGCGTGTACCATACTTGTTAAATAATGATTAATATTCATAATGATTATTAATTAAAGCGTGTTTTCAATGATTAACATATAATTACTTAAAAAAATTGAATTACATCATTAGTNAATTATTGAATTATTTATTTATTTTATTCTTATCCAAATCTCAAATTTCAAACATTAATTATTACTTTTATAAATTTTTAATGAATTGCATTTATTTTAATGACAACTTTTATTTTTATTTAGTTCACTCAAAAATGAACTAAAGTATGCATTTTATTTTTAACTAAAATGTTTTCTTTTGTTTTCTTTTTAATAGCATTTAATGAAAAATGCATTTGATATCATGTTCGAAAGTTTGAAATATTTATGTATTTTATTTTGCTTTTAATTAATACTCAAAAAATTTAACACTAATTATTAGCAAATCTAAGGCTGCTAAATGAAAATATGTAATATATTAAAGTGGTTTTGGTCCATAATTGGACTAGTATTTTTCTGTCTATTTTGAACTAGTATGAGCGATATTTCTGACCGAAATCTGACAATTGCCATCTCGTAGGACATCCCCATGTTAAAAATACCAGTTGATTGTATGGAAAAAAGAGAGTTGGCTAACTAGTTGGGCATGCGGTTCATACTAGTTGTGAGGTAGTTTACAACTAGTACATTTGACTACAGGGTACATACTCAAATACTTAATATTTGGAGATGTCTAAATATTCAAGTAAACAAAACCTAGGTATTGAGGACATGGGCGTAGCCATGTAGGGGCAGGGGGGTGCTCGAGCCCTGCTAACTTTAAAATTTTCCTTATATATCTGTGTTCGTATGGAAAAGTAGCTTATCCCGAAAGGCTGACTTTAATATACATAAATCGGCATTTGCAGTATACGATTGCGAATGACTCGATGGCGCTGAGCCGTTGAACAACTTTTAGCAAATAAACGTGCAAGAAATAGTTCCGATACTAGCAAGTCAATATTCTTATTAAGTCTCATCAAAAAATTCCGTGTCGTTCAAAGAATAAAAGGAATGCCGCATTATACTAAAGCCAACCTTTCGACATAAGCTACTTTTCCATACGAACACAGATATATATAAAATAGTACCCTGAAATGCCAGCTTAATAGGGTCGACCCCCCTAAATTTTATTCTAGCTACGCCGATGATTGAGGATTTGCTAAATACTCAAATAAAAAAAATTTAGTATTTAGGAGTTGGTAAATACTAAAGTAAAAAATACTTTGCCTTTTAAGAGCTGTTAGATGCTGAAATAAAGGCGTTAAATAATCTAGTCCAAAGTACTCGGGTACGCTAAAGTAAAGGCACTAAATACTCTAGTCTAATATACTCGGGTCCTTTGGAGATGCGAAATACTCTCACTAAAGTACTAAGGTATTTATTACATCGCTAAATACTTACAAACTAAATACTTTATGATTTAGGAAAAATTGAATCAGGACCATTTCGAGATTTTCGGGACTACTTCGCGATTTCCGGGGCTATTTCATGATTTTCGGGACTATTTCGAACTTGTCGTTATATTTATCGATCTTGATATCGATATATTTATAGATAAATTTAATGATTTTGCATTCGTTGTTGTTGTTGTTGTTGTTGTAGCGGCACTACTAAGCCCCGCCATTTTCGGGTCTACGTTCAATCATTGTCGTCGAGCTCAACTAACGGGAGGCCCAGGAAACGAGCTGTTTCGATGGGTTCGGACCAGAGGGAGAGGGGTGTTAGTTGAGTCGGATTGAGCTGGCATGTAAAGAGGTGGTTGGTGTCGTGGGGGGACTCTCCACATGCCGGGCACTCATTGGGGATATTGGGGTCGAGTCTGGACAGGTAGCTGTTAAGGCGGCTACAGTATCCAGACCGTAATTGAGCCAGGGTAACGCGGGTCTCTCGTGGCAGTTGAAGCTCCGTCTCTTCTACAAGTGGTGATTGGGCTCGTATTACGGCATTCATAGGTCGAGAGTCGAGGTAAGTGGTAACTGACTCTCCATGAATGTCGTTTATGGCTCGTCTGTATGTCGTCGGGTCCAATGGTTGGTCTATGTACTGTTGGACTGCGTCGTTGTACGCGAATAGGTGCCCCCTGACGTGCCTGGGCGGAGGCTCCTCCTGAAGCAACGGTCTGTTAGGGTGTTCACTTCTGTGACACCCCACCAGAAATTGCTTACAGAGCATTTTGTTGTGTTCCCTTACGGGGAGCACTTGGGCCTCGCTGTGCAGGTGGTGCTCAGGCGTCATCAGAAGGCACCCAGTCGCTGTCCGGAGTGCGGCGTTCTGACAAGTCTGTAGCTTCGTCCACTGCGTCCAACTAGTCCCCGGCGTCCAAACTGGCGCAGCATAGTTTAGAACCGGCCGGCCAATTGCCTTGTATGTTGCCAGCAACGTTTCTTTGTCTTTGCCCCAAGTGCTGCCGGCGAGCGACTTGAGGACCTTGTTGCGGCTCTGTACTTTATTGACAATTGCGGTTGTGTGCGTGGAGTAGGAAAGCAGGCTATCGAAGGTGACCCCTAAGATTTTTGGGTTGTTTACAGTCGGTATTGGTGTGCCATCGACGTGTATACCTAACTCTAGCCTGACCTCCTTCGTCCAGGTGGTGAAGAGGGTCGCCGTTGATTTCGTTGGGGAGAGTGTTAGGCTCCTTGCAGTGAAGAAGCGAGAAAGGCTGGAGAGATAGTCGTTCACTTTTGAGCAGAGGTCATCAATTCCATTCCCGGACGCCAAAATCGAGCAATCGTCAGCGTATGAGATCAGGGAAACTCCCTCAGGTGGCTGAGGAAGTTTCGAGATGTAGAAGTTAAATAGTAAGGGGGAGAGAACACCACCTTGTGGAACCCCTTGTTTAATCCTTCTTGGTTTCGAGGTTTGATCTCGGAAGATTACTGACGACTGTCGACCACTCATATAATTCGCCGACCATCGCTTCAGTCCCTGTGGGAGTGAGGAGGCCTCGATGTCTTCTAGTAGCGTGGAATGACAGACGGTGTCAAACGCCTTTGACAAGTCCAGCGCTACTAGGACCGTTCTCTCACAGGGGCGGTTTGGATTAGGCCACGAGTTATTTGTGTGTTTATGGCGTTAAGTGCTGTTGTTGTGCTGTGCACTTTACCGAATCCGTGCTGGTGCTTAGCTGGGGTCAGGTGGCAAGTGAAGTATGGGAGTAGTAGGGCCTCAAGCGTCTTCGCGACCGGGGAAAGGAGCGTTATCGGGCGATAAGAGTCTCCTTTGTTGGCGGGCTTCCCCGGTTTCAGCAGTGGGACCACTCTTCCTGATTTCCACACATCAGGAATGATGAGAGTGGCCATGGACAGGTTGAGGACCTCCGTAAGGTAAGCTACTCCCTTAGGCCCTAAATGTTTTAGCATCAGCATGCAGATTCCGTCGGGTCCAATGGCTTTGGAGGCTTTCACCTTCCCGATGACCTCCTTCATTTCACAGCTGGTGAAAACAAGTGGTGCACTGTTTTTTGGCGGCTTGTGCAGCCTCCTGGTCACTCGGCGTTTGGCCTTGTCTACCGAAGGGTGCAGTGTGAATTGCCTACTAAAGTAGGCTGCGCATTTCT